TGGAGTTATTTCACTCTGATATAGCATAGAAGTAATTTTCCTTTCTCCTGTTGGGTGGTTTTGCTGATTTATCTCGTGTAGGAGAATCTCCCTTGAGTTTATTCTTAGTTCTCAGATGCTAGCATTCCTGAAAGATCTGATCAATAGAGAAGAGGCAGTCTGGTTGGGGAGACAGAACGGACAAGAGTGTTTTGAACCAGACATTTTCTTAAACTGCTCCACATCGAAGTTGAGGCAACTCTGCATTCTGGCAAGTTCCAAGGATCATGTTCCTCTCAAGACAGCTCTTCATTTTCTCAATAAAACTCTAGGAAACAAAAATTTAAGCTGTCACCACAATGGACCCAAGGCCATGTCAGGAGCCCTGGGGGCAGACATGTGTGCAACGACCCATTCCCAATGCTCCCGGTCCACTCCAGCGGCAGGGCCGTCAGGGCTGGCACACGGCGTGAGTGGTCACATCACCAGCTCTCCACCCAGGCAGGAGGGCCCGGGGGTTCTGGGTAAAGAAACTTCCAATGCACCTGGCTGAGCCCTGCTTCCCGGTGTGTGACATGCCCTGTCCCGGGTCTGATGCTACCTTCAGCGCTGTGGTGGGAAAGGACCAAGGAGCCATGAGTTTCTGCGGAAAGCCCTTCATAATAGGGCCAAGGGACACTGGACAGGAAGAAGTAGGTGCAGGGCTGGGCAAACAACACATGTGTCCCAGCCAAGCTGTTTCCAGGAGCTACTGCTGTTAAAATGACCCCTAATTCGGAGAGGAGGCCCTGAGCTGACACAGCTGGGGTCCGGGCAGGCTGGGAGTTGCGCACGTGGACGGAGCTCCATTATGTGCTAGAGGGTCCTGCCCTTTTTTTTTTTTTTTAAATTCTTGCCTTAAAAAAAAAAAGTAGCTCACAGACAACAAAAGGAGACAACATAAAACTTTATATGGATAAATACCCTTGCCTTTCAGATCTGGTGCTCATAAAACAGATCAGGTTGGGGGCACAGTAGCTCTCAGGATTTTCCCAGCTGCCCACGGCTCTGGGGTGTTTGAGTCTCCAGGGGGCAAATCAGAGCATCCTGCCAGTCCTCCTATTGGAGCTCATTCACCCCCAAAGAACAAATTTTTAGCAACCCTATCTCATCATTGCTCCGTTAAAACCTGTCGATGGACTTTCATGCTCTAAGTCCACTTGCCAAGATGATTTCACTTCAAGTCGTCCCTTGGAAAAGTTGGGGAGAGGATGTCTCCCATCAAATAAGTTTAGAAAATGCCACACAGGAGACTTTTCTGGGAGATTCACAATGCACATTAAGAGGAATGAGAAGTGTCCTGACCAGTTTGGCTCAGCGGTCAGAGTGTCGGCCTGCAGACCAGAGTCCCAGGTTCGATTCTGGTTAAGGGCACGTACCTCGGTTGCAGTTCATCCCCGGCCCGGTTGGGGTCGTGTGGGTGGCAACCAATCGATGTGTCTCTCTCACATCGATGTTTCTCTCTCTCTCTCTCCCTCACTCCCACTCTGTCTGAATATAAATGTAAAAATATCCTCGGTATTTAAAAAAAAAAAAAAAAAGAGGAATGAGAAGTCCTACAGTTATCTGCTTTTCTCAAGACCTACCTGGCCTTTATGTCCTCCACACGAGACAACCGGCACAGGAAGCAGTGATTGGAAAACACTGCCCGAAACCCTGCTCAGGCATGCCACCGAGCCCCTCACTGCCCACCCAGGATTGTGCTTTTGGGGCTTTGTGAACCCAAATGCAAGACGCACCATTTATTCCTGGAATGCATCGTCTCGTTCCACCCGCCCCACCCACCCAGCCCGACAAGGTCTTCCTGGAACTTGATTCCTAGAACCGTATTTGTCTTGGACTCACATCTCTCCAGCAAATGCTTCCACAGCACACACATGTCTGCAGGAAAAGGGTAGCCCACAGGTGAAACCAGGCCCCCGCATGGCCGGTGGGGCCAGGCCCGCACCGCCCTCCTAGGGGGCCACGCCGGGGCAAGCTCCTTCCGGAGCACAGGGATGAATTTTATGTGGTTCCCAATGCAATTCATTCATTTGCAGTTGTTTTTCCATCAAATGGCTCCAAAGTGAAAAGTGTTTGCTGAGAAGTTGAATTATGACCTAATGCCAATAGCAGCTGCTGGTAACTCCAGGGGAAGAGGGTGGGGGATGGTGTCTGGGAGTTGGGGGCTCATTAACACTTACTTCTTAAATTAGCAAATCCTTTTAGCACACATGTAAAAATAGCAACCTAATGGTTTCTAAAATTAGCAGTCATTGGTCTCCATAAATATTCAGACCTCCAATAAACTTCTGGTCCACTTCCCTAGACTAACGGGGTCAAGCCGGCTTAGATTTTATGCCGCATTCTTTAGGGTCAGTGTACTTAATGGAAGTCGACCTTGACAAGCAAGGGCTGTGAGAAGCCTCAGAAGGTCCTGGACCAGGGACAGCCTGTGTGGCCATGAGACAGAGGCAACCCCAGGTGGGATGATAGGATCTCAGAGGCCATTTGGAGAAGTCTGCAGCCTCCAGGCTGCCTGGAGGAACCAACCGTCCTGACTTGCCTGGGACTGTTCCAATTTCAATGCTAAAAGTCCCCTGTCCTGGGCAACCTGTCAGTCCCCAGCAAACCAGGACAGTTGGTCACCCTCGCCACCGAACCACTGCAGTAGGACCGAGGCCCAGTGCTGAGATGTTTTCAGGGAGGAGAAAACATTGATGATACCTGATACCCACCCCCACCAGCTCTCACCCTAACTTCAGGCCTGTTGAATTAAGAGTATTTGAAGGAGGAAATAAACCATGGAAAGTACTAGCCAGACCAGGCCTAGAATTTCCATCCCCTGCAGCCAGTTTTCCTGCGTGTAAAATGAAGGCAGTGGATGCTACTCCACTGGGTTACTGTGGGGAATGAGCTGGGCAGCCCATGCCCGTGCTGGTGCGGCACCTGGCATCGCTCAGGCCCAACAAATGGTGCTTTGGGTTCAGCTCTGCTTGGTGCCCAGTGCATCAGGTCGGTCGGGGCAGCAGCTCTGGCCTCCTCTGTGGACCCCACCTCCTCCCTGGCTGTGACGGCTGGACAGCAGCGACTGGGGGTGGGGGTGTCTCCCCAGCCCTGAGCCCAGCAGCTGCTCAGAGTGCACTCGCCAAGTGGAGGGAAAAAAGACTTCCTAAAGAAAGCAGCGTCCTGCCCTGGCCAGTTTGGCTCAGCGGTTAGAGTGTCGGCCTGCGGTCCAGAGAGACCCGGGTTCCGTTTCCGCTAAGGGCATGTACCTTGGTTGCAGTTTGTCCCCGGCGCTGGTTGGTCGTGCGGGTGGCAGCCACTCGATGTGTCCCTTTCACATCGAGATGTTTCTCTCTCTCTATCTCTTCCTCTCCCTCCCTCCCACTCTACCTGAACAAAAAATGGAAAAATGTCCTCGGGTGAGGATAAAAAATAAAAAAAAAAGAAAGCAGCGTACTGACAAGAAGCATGTGGCCAACCAGGACAACTTTTGTGCGAGAAAACTGGGTCCTGAGCAAATAATCATTTAAACTGTCAGCAGAAATCAGCCCAACCCCCAGCCGGACCGCTGCACATCCTGTCAGCACCGCGGCGCTTTGTTGTTATCTAGTTTTGTCTGTTCACCAGGACAGACCCAAGGACTGCTTCCCACAACGCTAAGACAGCTAAGTCCTCTACATATTTTTAAATCCATCTTTTTTAAAAAAGAGGATGGTATAGGCTCCCAGGGGAAGTCTCACTTGTTTGTTATAACCAAATCCTTCATCGCAATTCAGAGGATTTCTTCACAATGAACCCAGAATTAAAGACAAGAAGGTGTGGGACCCCAAAAACTGCTTGCAGAGAGCGGCTGCCTTGCGTGGGAGAGGCCCTGCCAGCCCAGTGCTGCCCCCTGCAGCCTTCCCACTGAAGTGCAGGAGGCCTCTGCTCAGAGAAAGAGGAGGACGGTTTTGACTACTGAATGCTTCGCCAGTGTTGGACGCTGAAGTGACTTCATCAGCACAGAAGTTTTTCTCCCTTCAGAAGACACTTGGGAACCATGAAGTCCACCTCCCTCATTTTAAAGAGCAAGAAGCTGAGCCCCAGAGAGAGGCCCCAGGGTGAGGGCAGCACTGTGCCCAAACAGGAGAGCTAGTGGTGTCCACTTGGGTATTTCTGCCCTCCCTCCCAAGATTTCTTGGGTATACCCTATATGCCTGGCACTACACAGGTGCAGATCCTTGACCCCAAGAATTGGTCCGGATTTTGTCAAGATTTGAATGTATTTAAACCTCTGAAATGGCTGACAGCCAGGTAGTAGCCTTATTTTGTAACAGGTGCACCCTCAGCTCGAGGGTCGCAGGTTTGTGGTCCTGGCTGCAGCACCTAAGGAGCTGGTGACCTTGGTAACTCCTGCCTCCTGGCATCAGTGGACAATCTCTAAGGTTACTTCCAGCTCCGGGATTCTGGAAGGCAGCATCTGACCTATGGATGCTAATCTCCTCCCTACCTGAGCTCACAGGGTTGTCTCCCACACTCAGGAAATCTTTTGTTTTGACAAGCAATCATAAGTAGTATATACATTAACACTGTCACTCCATTTGTTGATTTAACAACTGAAGTGATTACTAATGGAACAGAATGAGATTCCAATGCAGCAGATGTGTTTCGGGGTGGACACGATGTGGCTGGTAAGTGCCGAGAGCGCAGAAATGGGGTTCTGGTGTGCCCTTCCCTGGGGACCTTGAGAGGCTCAGGACAGCCAGACTTAGCCTGTCATCCCTCCCAGGAAAACTCTCATAGAAGCCCAGCTTATTCATTCACCCAATGAAGTCTCAGAAACGATTTTTTAAATGTTAATTGTCATACCAACTGCCTATGGAAATTTCGGTTTCGGCGGCAGAAATAAATACACCGAGATAATGTTTAACCCGTTTCCTCTCTCTCCCTGCCGCCTCCCGGCTTCATTAGGACTCCTGCGGGCGCCTGAGCGAGGGCGGCAGCCACCCGGCGGGGCCATGGCCAGCATGGCCGTGCAGCTGCTGGGCTTCCTGCTCAGCTTCCTGGGCCTGGTGGGCACGCTCATCACCACCATCCTGCCGCACTGGCGCAGGACGGCGCACGTGGGCACCAACATCCTGACGGCCGTGTCCTACCTGAAGGGGCTGTGGATGGAATGCGTGTGGCACAGCACAGGCATCTACCAGTGCCAGATCTACCGCTCGCTGCTGGCGCTGCCCAGCGACCTGCAGGCGGCCCGCGCGCTCATGGTCATCTCCTGCCTGCTGTCGGGCGCCGCCTGCGCCTGCGCCGTGATCGGCATGAAGTGCACGCGCTGCGCCAAGGGCACTCCGGCCAAGGCCACGTTCGCCGTGCTGGGCGGCGTGCTCTTCATCCTGGCCGGGCTGCTCTGCATGGTGGCAGTCTCCTGGACCACCAACGACGTGGTGCAGAACTTCTACAACCCGCTGCTGCCCAGCAGCATGAAGTTCGAGATCGGGCAGGCCCTGTATCTCGGCTTCATCTCCTCGTCCCTGTCGCTCATCGGTGGCACCCTGCTCTGTCTGTCCTTCCAGGACGAGGCACCCTCCAGACCCTCCCAGGCCCAGCCCAGGGCCACCACTGCCACCGCGGCTACGGCGCCCTCCTACAGGCCACCTGCTGCCTACAAGGACAATCGGGCCCCTTCTGTCACCTCGGCCTCGCACAGTGGGTACAGGCTAAACGACTACGTGTGAGTCCCCGGGGCCTGTCCCTCTCTGAGTCCAGAGAGGCACCAGGACCCAGAACCCCGGCACAAAGTTAACTTCCGGCTGCTTTTGTGCCCAAAGAAGAATGTGAACATGAGGAGATGGGCTTAGAATACAGGGAATGAGGGGAAAGTAAGAGGAAAAGCTCTATATACCAAAGACTAAAACAAATCCTTTCTGTTTTTGTATTTATTATATGTATTTATGTGGGTAATTTAGAAACAGTTGAGTTAAAAGTAACTTGGGAGTTTGGACAGTGGGATTTGTGTGCAATACAGGAATAAACCTTTGGGTATGGTTGTTTATGGAATGGATAGCATTGGTTCTGTTTCCAGACTGCTATTCTCTCTGCTCAAGTTCTGGGAACCACAGTGCACTGTCAGGGCTTTGCACTGCAGAACACTGGAATCACTCAGGGAGTGGCCAAGACCACCCATGACAGGAAACTCAGAGGAGGACCCGGCTGATATTCATCCGAAAGCTGCTTGAGCAACACCCACCCCAAACAGGTGCCATATCCTGGCTTAAACCTAGAGGCAGGGCAGGAAGTACCAGGCTTCCTTGGGATAAAGATAATTGCCATAAATCACAAAGTAAAGACAGTCGTTTTCTACCGGTGAGCAGTAGGCCCCCACTAGTAAGGAAGCAACTCGGGAGGAAAACAAGACAGAGAAACGTGCCTGGTCGCGTGGCTCTCCAGGTGCTGGCAAGGAGCCCAGTTAGGAGTGCTGCTCTCTCCCCGGGGCTCCAACAGGATGTCACTGGCATCTTTTTGGGGGACAGAAGCATGGTGGCAGCAGCCATCAGAGCAGGTAGGAGAGTCTGTTGACTGTTTCATTCACAGAAAGATTCCTGGGAGGGCCAGGTGAGGGCTGACTGCTTTAAGAACCCTGGTGGTGCTTTCCAGCTGTGATCTAACTCACGTGGTCAGAGAGCTGTTAATGGTCACACACACACACACACACACACATGCCCACGATGTGCCCTGATGGCACCCTGCTTGTGCCTCTGTCCCAAACCTGAAGCTCTGATTGTGGAAGGAAATGCCCTGCTCTGTGGAAGGGCTGAATCTGAGACCCGCACACAAGCAGCTGTTACATGAAATCCCTCCGTTCTCAACATTACAAAGTGGGGTTTAAGGAATAGTCCTACACATATTCTTTTCTACTTCTTGCTGACCTCTAGATCCCAGGTAAACAGGTGCACCTCTGTGTGGGAGGAGGGGGTGCTGTGTATTTCGCCTTTATCTGACCACACAGAAGGTACGAGGGCAGGGATCTGCTATCTCAATTAGGCTAGGAAATGAGATCCAAAAAAATCACCATTTATTTATAATAAAACAAGCAATTTGAAATCTATTGTTTAAATTATAAAAATAAATCTGAGTCAATAAAAATAAATAAAATCTTCTAAAAACCAAATGATATTCTGTCAGTCATACCTAGATGGTCACAAGTTAGAATGTTTAGTGAAATTACTCTAGTTAATAGATCTGCTACAAATTAAAGAGAAAATAAATAAAATGGCCTCTTGCAAATTCTTTCTCTGAATTCTACCACTAAAAATAAAATATCTCCCTTTCTCCTACTCAGGTGAAAGACTAATAACAATAATGATTACAATTTACTGAGCACTTACTATGTGCCAGACACACTTTTTGTTTACTTGTTTGATCCAATGAGATACATGAGAATCCAATGAGATAAATACTATTCTTAACCCCATTTAACAGAGAAGAAAATTTAAAGCACATAGAGATTATTTGCCCAGGATCACAGAGCTAGTGAGTCAAAGAGCCAGGATTCAAACCCAGAGAGGTAAGCAGGGGGCAAATATGTTAGCTGAAGTAGAGCAATGACCTACAGTCGAATTACTTGTATGTCCAGACTATTTCCAAATAATTGAGTGGATTATTTGTCAGCATATTAGGTTCTTTCCAGAGCCATCACTCCAGAGAGCTATTGTTAACTGGGTTCTGGTTGCTTTGAATGAAAGATGATATCAGACCCAGGAGTCCGAGTTTGAACCCCAGCAGAGAGCAGGAAGTGACACAGACAGCTCTGTCCCACAGGAAGTAGAGCCCAGTGACCTCGATGGCCTCCCTCAAGTACCAGGGCATGAGAACGTGGGTCCCAGTTTCCTCTTGCTGTTTTGCTCACCTTCAGTCCCAAGACAGGAACCTCAGGTCCTTCGAGCCCCTCTCTTGCCACAGTACCACCCGGGCATGAGGCGATACCTGCTGCTGCCCAAAGCTGCAGGACAAGGCGGTCTGAGCCCAGGTTGCTGGAACAACAGTAGGGGCTCCTTTCTGAGGTGTCACACAGCCTCCAGTTTCAGGATAAAAAGGAAACATGAGTCAAACTCTGATGTTTTCCAGGAAACCATTGCTATGAAGTAAGTTACAACATTATCCTCATGGGACAGAAAATGCTATATATTTCTTTGCTTCTCTTAAAACAAATTCGGCTCTGATCCAGAGAGGTCTGAAGCCAGCCATATTTTCTGTTTCCATCCACCTGCATTTAGGAGGTCTCAGGGCTCCTGGACTTGGGGAAGGAGTGAAGCCCAGTATTCAGTCCTTGGGGACACCTGGTTATACTGCTGACTGCCAGGTGCCAATGCCATCACAGCCCAGGGCCTCCCAGTGCTCCCACCATGCCACAGTGCACCCATCCCACAGGCATCCGTGTCATGCCCAGCCTCTCCCGGGCCGTGTGTGGGTAGGCATGGGAATCTTCCACCCTGCAAAACCCCGGTGAGAATAACCTTTGTCCCAGGCCCAGTCTCTGGGAAGCCACTTCCTGAGATGCAGTCAGTCCCCTCCTGTACTCGAAGTACCCCAACGTCCCCCCTCTTAGACAACACATCTAACTGCTCTCGCGGCTTATCCGTCTGAAATCTAAAGCCTCTGAAATCCCCCGAGAATCCGAGAACCCGCTTTCAGAGCAGCGCTCTTGCCGGCGGATCTGATCTGAAAACCACAGCACATTCACATTTGCATAATAACAGTTCGTTACTTGATACAAATAAACAGAAAATGGGGCCAGAATTTGCACCCAAAATGCCTGGCCCTGAAGCCCCTTTCTTGGCCACAATTCCATCTGCTTCCCCTGACCTCAAAGCCTCTTTGGGGTCTCACTACTGGGCAGAGGGAGGAGCATGGATGGTGACAGTCTGGGCAAGAGATAGGAGTCTGGACCAGGTGGCCACTGTGGAGGAGAGAAGGGATCAGGGTGTGTTTGAAGGCAGAGCTGGTAGGATTTACTGATGGCTTGGTTGTGGGTATAAAAAAAAAGAGCTTACAGGATAATACTGAGATTTGGGGCTGGATCAACTGGAAGAACAGAGTTACCATTTTCTGAAATAAAGAAGACTCTGGAAAGAAAAGATTCCGATGTGCTAGGTCGATTGTTGGTTGTATGTGTTTGGTGTGAGCTGCCTCAAGCGAAGATGTCAAGCGGGTCGACGTATAAGGTGGAGTTCAGGGAGAGATGGATCTGGAGGCCATCAGCCCAGGAATGTTATTTAAGCCAGGAGCCAAAACAGGTCATGTTGGAAGTGAACATCGACAAAGAATGCAGGGGCCCCTGTGGGGATGTGTGGGGAGAGTTTCACATTTAGAGGCTGGGGGCGGGCTTGGTGGTAGTGAAGCAGCCAGGGGAGGCATGACCAGGGAGCGAGGAGAACCAAAAGGAGGGACGTTCTGGAAGCCAGAAAATTGAGATTAGAAAATTCTTATTTCCAGTTCATAAGGGCACAACAGCCATTAAGAAAAATATGTAGCCCTGGCTGGTTTGGCTCTGAGGTTAGAGCGTCGACCTGCGGTCCAGAGAGACCCAGGTTTGGTTCCCGCTAAGGGCATGTACTTCAGTTGCAGTTTGTCCCCGGCCCTGGTTGGGTCATGCGGGTGGCAGCTGCTCAATATGTCCCTTTCACATCGATGTTTCTCTCTCTCTTCCTCTCTCTCCCTCCCACTCTATCTGAATAAAAAAATGGAAAAATGTCCTCGGGTGAGGATTAAAAAAAAAAAAAGAAAAGAAAAATATGTAGCCCTGGACAGTTTGGTTCAGCGGTTAGAGCGTTGGCCCATGGACCAAAGTCTCAGGTTTGATTCAGGTCAAGGGCATGTACCTTGGTTGCAGTTCGTCCCCAGCCCTGGTTGGTGTGAAAATATTTGTGATTTCCAATAGTGATAAAGTCACAAGGGCTAAAATACCCCCAAAAGTAAAGCAACTTGCTCAGGGGAGTGGAAATACATTTAAAACCCCTTCTCTTCAACGGAGTATACAGATGTCATATTATAGAGTTGTACACCTGAAATTTATATGATGTCTTTAACCAACGTTATCCCAATAAAGTTAATTTTAAAAATACCTTCACTTGCGCATTGGCCAGTTTGGGTCAGCGGTTAGAGCGTCAGCCCACAGACCAAGGAGTCTCGGGTTCCAGTCTGGTCAAGGGCACGTACATCAGTTGCGGTTCATCCCCAGCCCTAGTCGGGGTCATGCAGGAGGCAACCAGTTGATATGTCTCTCTCACATTGATTTCCCTCTCTCTCTCTCTCCCCCTTCCTCCTACTCTACCTGCAGATAAATGAAAAAATATGTATATATCCTCAGGTGAGGATTAAAAAAATATATATACCTTCACTCGAGAATATGTTCGTGCAACTGGAAATGCAAATTTCATTCTGCACATAGGTGACAGTTTCCTTAAAATCACACTAAGGGCTTCCTGGGGACCCCAGAGGGTGTTGTGTGTGTGTGTGTCAGGGGTGGAGCTGAGCACCATTCTTGAAGACAGAAGAAACCTGGGCCCATCATTAATTCTCAGGGCGCAACTGCCCCTATTTGTCCAACGAATACAATGATAAACCTATCTGATGCCCTGGCGGACAGGAATCACAAGTTCCCCAAGGCAGCTCTCCTGGGGGCCAGGAGAACCTGGGGCATCAGATACCCCAGCCATGGGTGTCAGGCCAGGTGTCA